AGCCCCTAGAGATGGGAGGGAGCCGAAATTCAAGCAGAAAGTGCAGAGGCAGTGCTAAGAAGCATACGGGGCTTCAGGCAGATGGGGGAGGCCCAGGGATGCCTAGTGCAGACTGCATGTAAGTCTCTCTTTGCTTAGAAGCTGAAAATCCTCTCTGGATTTGAGCGGAGAGGGTTTTCAGCTCCTGGACACAGAAAAAGCACAGTAAAGAAAAGAGCACGGGGTGCCTCAGGGGATGTGGAAGGTCTGGGAAGACCCAGTACAGCCTGTGTGCAAGTGTATTTGAGGCTCGGAGTTGAAAATCCTGCTTGGATTTCAGCAGGGAGGCTTTTCAGCTGTTGAGTGGAGACCCACAGGGTCTTCCCCACCTCTTCTGAGGCACCCCAGAATCCTTAACACTGAACGACCTGAAAGATCACTAATGAGTGCAATTGGGAGTGCTGGGATTGTGTTTGTTGAGTCCTGTCATGTAATCACTGAACAACTGCTTTGCTTAATTCCTGTCCTAATTGTGGTCATAAGTTGAGGACAGTCCGTAATTTTTTTTATAATGAACACATCCTCAAAATAGCAGTAGGCCACAACATTTTTGAGTTACTACAATGTGTGTTTGGGAAACCTAAAACAATACTTACTCGTGTGCTGGATCCAGGTTCTCCTACATCTCCCTGTAAATAACAAATAAAAACTGAAAATTTCACATTATTACTTGTGTTTGAGAGAAAACTGAGTTTCGAATGTTTCGATTTCTATAGAAGATAATGGAGGTAAATCACATAGCATAACATTAGAAATTCTGTGCTAAACTTTAGAAACCATACTGTTCATAGGATATCATAGGTATGTATGCTTTGTTCCCAAAGATAGGTTCCTCCAAACAAAAATACAGAACTATTCTATGTTCAAAATACTAAACCTATATGTAGCAACTAAATATTATCAACCATGTGGCATGAATTTACATACATATATATATATATATATTGTTTTAGCTGATATAGCAAGAGAAGAACAAAATTTTCTTACAGAAATGTACTCACAGGAAAGAAGAGCTGATGTTCTGCCAAAAAGGAGGACAGAAGACAGAGATCGAAGAAAGAAGTAATGGATAGTGACTAGTGACCCAAAATGGATTCTAAGCAGCTCTGGCTGCTAAAGATTTGGTTCCAGAGTTGGTCAGGACAAAGATCCTGAAGCAGAGTTGAGGGGTATAAGGAGATTACCAAAAAGAGAAAATGGGCAGGGATGGATATGTCTTCCTCAGACAGATGGTCTCCAGGTGTTATGGACTTCTCTGATTCTGAGGCTGAAAAAGGAGACTTTAGCCTGTACCTGGAGAGTCAACAGGTTGTTAGCCACCTGAGAATAATGACTCACACTCTAACTCTAAAAAACATAATTAGGTAAGGAGACAATGGAGATCTGTATATCTCCTGAAAGGTAAAGACATTAACTCTTCTAATTAGACAAAGCCTCACATTCTTGCTCAATTCAGTTTGGATTGGCTATTATGGAATTCTCTGGCACCTTATCTATAAAATGTATTGGACTTCCTCTAGAATTCCACCTTCCAAACACTTCAAGCTAGTTGCTTGCAGCATTGGGATAATTTACAAGGTAAACAACCTCTCTTTAAACTCTTCAAATCTTCGTTATTTTCTCTTGATCTTTGTCTTTAGCTTGGGTATTGGTAGAAGATTTTTTAACATGCAAATAAAACTCCCAATCTACTAACTGACTTGCTTTCTGCTTCTATCAGTTCAAGGCTTGCATAGGACACTAGGAGAGAATAAAGATAGGAAGCTACATTTGCCAGCCTGGGATTCTAAGTGGGGAATCTTGTACCAATTGACACGCACATAACAGGGTAAACTTTATAAGAAGCAGGAAGCTTCACTTTATCACTAGAAAAACAACTTGATTATTACTGAACAGTCCAATGTAAATCAAACCTCACTTTACTGTTTTATTGCCACTTCTCAGAAAGGTTATAGGAAAGGGGTGGTTGTATAAATACTGTTATAAATGTCTTAGGTACATTTTGTTTGGCTTGAAATAGCAAATAGTTTAGCTATTATTACAAGGCAATTAGTTAACAGACTAGAGAGGCATTCTGACTTTTCAATGCTACTATTTTGAAGGAAGATTCCATAAGCTTTAGAACAAGGGTGTCCAATGTTGGCAACTTTAAGACTTGTGGACTTCAACTTCCAGAATTCCCTATCCAGCAATCAAATCAGGTCACATACCTTTATTCCAGGTAAGCCTTGAGTGCCAGGTGGGCCAATAGGACCCTGAAGGAAAACAAAAGACAATTATTTCCAGTAGTCAAAGCATAAGTATGATTGAGTTAATTCAAATATTGTATACAGCATGCTAACTTGTCTTTATTGTGTTGTTGGCATTTTCTGAAAAGATAAGGTTGCTTTTAGGGTGATGGAACAAAAAAAAAATGTCCCACCACCCTAAGACATGTACATTTCTATATAAATGAACTTCAATCAAAACTGTCTATTTACTGACCTGAACAAAACTTCAAAACCTCAGTTACTAATGAACCTTAAACAAACCAACATTTTACTGCTTTAACAATCTATAATTCAGTGAGCCTTTAGTGATAAGAAGACAAGCTTTATCCATTGTTTCTGCATTGATAAATTAGCCCAACAATTGAGACAATGACAAGACTGGCGAAGAATTGCAGAGACAACTTAATTAGAAATCATCCATTAAATGCATGCCATTCTGTCCTTGACCAAATGGGTCTGCTATCTGCTATTAAGAGCCTATTCCAACATCTTATAAGATTATCCAATACACTGGGAGACCCAAATTTTTCTATAAACTTTCTTATATCTATTCAACTAGGTGGACACTGCATTTCCTGCATCAGATGAGGAGAGCACATCTTTCTCCTTCTCTCCTGGCCATTTTTTACAGAGGCACAATTGAGAGCGTTTTAACAAACTGCATCACTGTTTGGTTTGGTGGCAGCAGTGCCTCAGATAGAAAGTCTGTACAGAGAGTGGTAAGGACAGCCGAGAAGATTATAGGAAGCTCGCTTCCCATTGTTGTGGCCCGCTGGCAACTGATAGAGCTGGCAGCAGAGTTGGACAGTAGTGAGGAGGTTGGGGAGGAACCTGGGCCGAGCCTGGAGGCTGAGGAAGATCTGGAGGAAGGCGCTGCATCAGAGGCAGAGATGGGGCCAGGGCATGCTGGCAGTCAGCAGCTGCCTTCAGACTCAGACAGCAGTGAGGTGGGGGAGCTTATGGAACCGGTTCCCAGCCTGCCCATGCGCAGAGCTAGCAGAAGACGAGAACAATTGAGAAAGCAGGGTCGACTCAGGAGTAAGGCCACATCTCGGAGATGATTGGCTTCTCCCGTAGGACATAAAAGAGGAGTGAATGGGACGTGAGCTTTTGCAGGAAGCAATTAGTTTGTTTGCTCAGAACACAAGCTTTGAAAAATCCTGTTTGACTCTGTGTCAAGTTTGGCTTTGCCCTGCATCTGGCAATTAGTTCTCTGGCCACATTCCAAGTGTGATAAGGTGGGTATTTATCAACATTCCCCTGAAAAGACTGTATGTGAAGCCTTGTGAATGAACGTAATTCACAGCTGTGGAAATAAAAAAGGTTTTACCGGGATTAAGATTGTGTTCTATGCTTTCTAAGGAAGCCTAGGTCAGAACACCCGTTATTCAGGATACTGCTTATAAGCGCCACGTGCTTAGAGCTCAAGCATTATTAGAGACCCCATATACCCACTTTACGGTCTATTTCTGTTGCTCCCCTCTGGGAGGAGGCTTCAAAGTATTTCTAGCAGGACTACCAGATTCTATAACAGCTTTGTTCCCTATGTCATCCATCTGGTAAATACGCAAGATTTGTTTCTCTCTCCATGTACATGTATACATCCGATCTAGATTGTGTTGTTTCTCCACATCATATAATATATGTGGGTATATGCATAATTTTGTATTTATTTATTTTGTTATGTTTATGTAGTGTATATTGGAGGTGGAGACCCTTTGAGAGCTGTATGCAATGAGATTTCATTTTACTGTATGCCAATTAGTGTACATTCAAAGTGACAATAAAGTTATTCTAAGTTCTAAGTACTGTAGCATAATACTTTTAAAAGAAAAGAACCAGGTTTACTTACAGAAGGGCCTTGTGATCCAGGATCCCCTTGATTTCCCTGTTGAAATGAAAATACTTTATCAGTGGTAGATGTGGTACTGATACACATCTGAGTTAGCTTTTTTTTTTTAGAACTGAAGGTCCATAAAACATACTTGACTTCAAATGAGATCCTTACCCATTCCATACCATCCAGATCACTGAAAAACCAAATGTTGATTATTCTAGAAATTCAAATAGTATTTACTATTAAAATCTAATTGTTACAATGTCAGCTTTTAATAATATCAGCTGATAACAGGTTTGAAATAATTATTTGAGCCTCCTTACGTCTTGTTCTGGTGAACTCCTCATTAAGAGCAAGTTCAGAGTCCTTTTTATCAACTCATTTTTGCTGTGACATCTATCTTTATAGAGAGAGAACATACTGTAGGAAATTATGGTACATCCATTTATGTCACAATGATTTGCATACATGACAGCAATACTTTTGCAGAGATTTACTGTCCAAATGTCAGTTTTCTGGGTAAAATAGGATGATGGAGACAGCTAGTTGAATCATTGAGTTAATATGTGACTGCCATTTCCTGGTTGCTCTATAATCCTTCAATTTTAAATTCTAAAATAATATATCAATATTAAAATATTATGAAATGAATGTACACACACATATATACATTCATTCCTTTCACAAAGTGATTTAAAAATATTACAAGAGCTTCATTATTGCATCTTGCCATTTGACAAACGAAAAAAGAACTTAAGTGGTTTGCTTTGGGTCCCTCTGTTGAACCCAGGTTTGGTCACCATGCCAGGGTCTCTCTCTTCCTTTAGCAAAGCTGACCATGCTAATTAGCCCTGCAATGCAACCTCGTCCTCCTAACCCCACGATTAGTAAGAAGACGCATTGTGCTAACATGCAAGGTGGGATGTGGGTGAGATACAGGAGAGGGAAAGGGGAGAGGAGCACCTACCGGTCTGCCCAGAACTCCAGGGAAACCTGGCAAGCCCTGCAAAGATCCAAGGCAAAGACCCAAAGAGTTAGTGAGACCCAGAGCAACCTCTGAAGCAAGCTTTGGACGGCCTCACAAAACGGCAAGGTAGAGCAGTTCATTTTGCGCTAAAAAGAAAGCGAGTGGGCAGAGAAAGCCAACCACAGTCAAGGACTCAGGGGCTGCAGCAGCTTAGGTATAAAAGTTACTTACAGCTGGGCCAGGGGGCCCTCTAATTCCCTGTAAACCCTAGATGGAGGCAAGAACATATACAGACACATGAACCAGCTATGTAAAATACAACCACAAGGAAGCATGATAGACTGTTGTCATCTGAAAGAACTTTCTTAGGGAGGGTCTTCTCATTGCCGTGTCCACAGCATCTCCTGGAGGAAGCTGTGCAAGCTAGCAATGGGATCCCAGAAAAATGCATGTTTAAGGTGAGGAGGTACCAACAACAGTACAACAAGGTGCTTCAGAGCAGCATGCACACAAGTTCTGCAGAATTTTCTGATTTTTATTTGTTTAATAACTGCCATTCATTATACTACCCCCAACTGTCTCTTTCTGAAATGATGGAAACTCAGGGTAACCAAAAGTGGTTCTTGAATGGAAGGATTTAAAGATGATTCATGAACTCTTAATTCCAATGTTATGATAGTAAGCCTAACATTTTCATTCTATAATTTAAACTATCTATCTATCTATCTATCTATCTATCTATCTATCTATCTATCTATCTATCTATCTATCTATCTATTCATCCATCCACCCATCTGCCTACCTACGTACCTACCTACTGTATCTATCTATCTCATGCCTTTATTATTTTTACAAATAACTCAAAGTGGCGAACAAGTCCAACGCAAATTCCTCCTACTGTTTTTTTTTTTTTCTCCACCACAACCATCTCGTGACATGGGTTGGGCTGAGAGAATGACTGGCCCAAAGTCACCAAGCCTGAACACCATCTAAGGTGGGACTTGAGCTCCTGCTTTTTGGCCTCCTGCTTTTTAGTCTGGTACCTTAACCACTACTAAACCAAACTGGCTAAAAAACAAACAGTCATACAAAAGGAAAAAATGTCATCACAGAATAGCTGATTGATTCCAACATATTCATTTCTCTTGTTCAGATGCTTGAATATTTCTGTATATTTTGAACAATGACTCACATGTCTGTTTATAGGTGTTCTGGACATATGTAAGAAACAAGCATAATTGTAAGTGATGAAGAGTAAGCAAAACCCTTCTGTTGAGGCCTCCCTAAGCTGAATATGGTCTACCAAGGCACTGGAAAGCAAACAATACATCAGATCCAATTATGCAAGAGTTTAGTAAGAAGAGATCTAGAAATGATTTGAAAAGTCAACCCAATTTACACTTAAAACTAATTATTATTAAGAAACTCGGGAAAACTAGTTTCAAACGTGGTTCATAAATAAAATGTATCCTGGTTTCTCAGTGCTACTGAGACATTGCAGTTCCAATAAAACAGAACATTCTTCATGGAGAGGCAACTTGTCTCCAGTTGTTTCTGCCCACCCAGGACCTTTCAGCAGAGTTGGTGTGCTCCAGGTCCCCTCCATTAAATACTGTTGTCTTATGGGATATAGGAAGCGTACGTTTTCTTTGGGAACTTGTGGGCTGCACTGACCTTCCTGTCACATTCTCTCATTTAGAATTCCAACAATACTCCTTTTCTTTTGCTGTCTTATCCTGAGTCTCTTTTCCCCTGTACCATAGGGTTTTCTATGCCAAGGCTGAACTTTTTATACTTACTGCTTTTCCTTCTAACCCAGGAAGGCCCCTCTCTCCTGGAAGTCCCTGCAGAAAATGGAGAATAAGTAGAGCCAACAAAGCCACAAGGGTGCAATGCAATAATAACTATACACGGTAATAGAACAGGCCCATTCTGAAAGTAAGACATTCATTGTTAAAAAGCAGGATAAATTCGGATGTCAGAGTTGCTTTGTTGCAGTAGCTGTCATCATTTTGACAATACTCACTGGAGTGCCATCCCTGCCCTTTTCACCAGCTTCACCTCTCTCCCCTTTTTGACCATCTTCACCCTGCAACCCAAGATGGCATGACATTACAAAAGGGAAATTGGCAGCTCTATGGTGTCAACTCCCCATACCACACAAGCCAGAATCATTGATTGCATTACAATGGCCAGTTTAATTTCTGCTGGTTAGTTCAGATCAACCAAAAGTAGAAAGGCTGCCAAGACCAGGAGAGCTCTGACTTTCTCCTTTGCCTTCTACCAAGGTCACTAAAAGACTGAGATCTCCTATAGACTCCTTGGAAGCAAGCCTGAAAAATATAAGTGTCCTAGATTTTACTGAAGGCAATGAATTTGATGCCTTTAACTACATATTCAGGTTCAAGGGATTTCTATTAGTATATTATCCTTGACTATAATTTCTTCCTTAGTGTTTCTTAAATGCAAAATAGCACAAAGAATAAAATAAAAACCCAGTATAATTTAAAAAATAAAATAAAAGGAGGCTACTTCCATGATGTGATTGTTTATTTATGAAGTGTTTATGGTTGCCCAACTTAAGCAATTGTGAATCTGGAAGACATACAAGCAACAGGTAAACAATACTATTGACAACCATAAAATTTAATAAGTGATTGTGAATAATGTCATTATCCCTCTTCCTGTGAGTTTTGCCACAAAAACCCAACTCTTCCTTGACTCCTTCATCAATATCTTGACAACCATTTTAAATGTTTCAGACAGAAATGAAGCCAATACATAGTTTCTAGTCTGATTACAGAAAATTGGTCTGTAATTATAAACAAACAGACAAAAAACCCCACAAAATTTTCAGTCTCAGCTCCAAAAGAAATGTAATATAATGCAAACCAATAGCAAAAGATTCTTGCAGAAAATCCATGGTCACTAATAGAAATGGTAATACAATCAAAGGAGATCAGTAATCTTAGTGGACAAAGCTATCTCATTCTTACTGCACCATTGCTCTGATGGTGAAAAATTAGAGCTCTGCAAATCATTGAATGAGATAGTGGGGAGGTTAGTCAGGTTAGTCAGATATAGCACAGTTAATTCAAGGGCAATAGTTAATACATAGCAATTGTTAACTGGGAACAAGGAAAGCAAAGCACTGGGAAGATTGGTAGGTGGCTTAGTGAACAGGCCATGCGAAGAAGAAAGAGAAAAAGGGACAAGTTGCACCAGCCTTGCCATAACACCCTGGCTGAAACCCGGTGGAAGCAAGCTATTTGGGTTTCAAATAGGCTGAACTTCTGAGCCACAGCATGTGTGTTTTTATTCACCTTTGGGAATAAAAGACCCCTTGGGGCTGCTGAATTATTCGTTAAGACAATGAAAGAGACAGAGATAAAATAATATTAAAGCACATCAAACACTTGCAGGAAAGAAGAATTCCCTCTCACAAGTGGAGGCACAGAACAGACACAAGGACAGCTGGAGAAGAGCAGAGAGGAGAAACTTACTACATTCAGACCTTATCGCCTCTGGAGCCCTTTGCACCATCTTCTCCTGGGTCTCCCTGTGCAAGAATTAAAAAAAGGGAATGATTACCTCCAAACCTTAAAGTACAACGGCTTTACTAAAACAAAAAAAAAAACGGGGAAAATGTCCTGCTATCAAAACAATCATCAACAGACTCTCAGTAGCTGGGACACCATGTTAATAAACCATTTACATTTTCTGACTTGTGGTCCTCACTTCAAGATTGAAAGAATTTTTGCTCACAGAAGAGACCAGAATATCTCTTGTTAAAAGTACAACTTTTTAAAACAAAATTTTAAAACAAAACTAGCAACTAGAATAGAATGGAATGGAATGGAATAGAATAGAATAGAATAGAATAGAATAGAATAGAATAGAATAGAATAGAATAGAATAGAATAGAATAGAATA